CACTAAGCCCACATCTCAGGAAGTTCCTGTTGCAGCTACCCACTGCATCTTGCCCAAAAAACGAACCCAGCTCCTTGCTTCCACCGTGTTTACAGGGCATCTCACCATTCCTAGCTGAAGAAAAGCATCTTCTGTGTATTTGCACTACCACATCCATCACAGATGACCATCAGCACTTCTGAAGTGTCAACCTAAATTCTAAGCTCCTGTTTGCAAGAGAGATTCTGCCAGGAAATCCAAAGGTCCCTCTCCTATCTTTGTCACATTATTTGCTTTTCTCTAATATCTCAGATATTAGAGGTAATTTATTTTAGTCTGGAGCTGCCTGTTCAGCAAGTGACAGGGCTGAATATGATTTTTTTTCTCCTTTATTTACACACTGAGGATGGAGGGAAAGTTCCTTTACTAGTAACTCCTGCTCTCCCTTTGTGCTGGTCTGACAGCAATCTGGCTCCTTTTCTTCTCCTAGACTGTCTGACAGTTTGGGGATCCAAAGTGAGGCCTTGTGAAAGAGATGGGAATGGAGAGACTCTGGAAGCAAGTGGGGAGAGGGCAGCACAGAGGAGGGACAGCAGCCAGCCTGGGGCTCTTGAGATGTCATGAAATCATAGGATCATAGAGTCATGGAATCATTAGGATTGGAGAGGACCTCTAAGATCCCCAAGTCCAACCCTAAGCCATCCCCACCAAGTCCACTGACCATGACCCCAAGTGCCACATTCACAGAATTGGTCTATTTGAGTTTGCAGTGTGAAGGCTGTAGGAGCATTGTATGTTGACTGCTCCAGTGGTTAAGTGCTGGTCCTCAGCAAAGGCCACATCAGTGAAAGTGATAATAGATGTCTTTGGAGATGCAGGAAGACAGCCATGAACTCTACTGACACCATTGGCAAATCTGACTTTTGGATCCATGTACCAGCCATTCTGATGCATCACTGATACAGCCCAGGGCAGAAAGAGGCGTATCGTGATGCATGCAGAGAAGGCACTAAACAGAGAAGCCCTGAAATCCTGCTTGTGAAGCTCCCTGGAAGTAGGGACATCTGCATCCAAGTGTGTCAGCAGCTTCAGGTCCAAGCTGCTCAGCAGGAGCATGAAGGGTTACAGACACTTGTGCAGTCCTGGACACTCTGAGCACAGGGTGGAGGCCAGCCAACAGGCTGACCTGGTGTCCCTGGAAGCTGATGCTGGGTGCTTGACTTGAAATGGCCCTGGGAGCGAACAGATGGCTCGTCTTTATATGCATGTTACTTGGATTTGTGTCTCGAGCAGAAGAATAACTTAATTTTTGACATTTGCTTCTCCTCAGAGCCCAGCACAATTTATGTTACACTGACATTTGCGTGAAGGATGTTGCTTTAGGCACAAAAGCCATCCTGGCTTTAACCCTACAAGGAGCCAAATAGGCAGGAGCCATCTTCCTCCCGCACTCCTTCATAGGCTATTCCAGAGGATATCACACTTACACCATAACCAAAAAATCAGGAGAAAACAGTCATTTGGGGCTTGTGGAAGGAAGGGGCAGGACTGGAGTGAGACTGGGCTGGAAAATATCTCATCTGTAGGCCTGAAATGAGAGACTGCTTGTGGGTGAGGTTTACCTACTATTAAAAATACCCTTCGAGGCCTGTGCGGTTCATCTCGAGCAGAGGGGATAAATTTAGCAGATTCCTGTTCCCAGCAATCCAAGTGCAGACCTCCTGCACCCATAGCTTTAAGAGAAGGGTTGCTAGTGTCACTCGTTGGTGAATGGGATTTCCAGCAGCCAGAGCAGGGAGATCTGTGCCTCCAGTTCTGTGCCCTTGATACTTTTCCAGGTGATTTTCAGCAACTCTTGCATTCACTACGATCCCCCTCTTGTGGCTTGTTCTGCAAATCTCCTGTCTCTGGCTGCTGAGGCTTGCTTGTGTGTTTTCAGGTGCAATGGAATACGGTGGCTTCATGGGTTAGCTACTCCTCAGCTCAGCTGTTGTGGCCAGGTACTGTGAGGGAACAGGGTCAGCGTGGAGCCCAGAGCTGGGCTTAGTGATCCTATAGGTCTCTTCCAACTCAGGATAGTCTGTGATCCCCCCTGCATGGTGCTCTATCTGTTTCTCATGCAGGAAACGGTGCCTTGCAGCTCTCATGTCATGAAGGTGGATGATCTGAAAATGAGCTCAGTGCCCATGCAAGTCTGGGAGCCATGGCATGGGGATCTGAGTGTCCTGGGCTAGCCCTTGGCTCCCTAGTGTCTGCAGAGATGCCACCTGCAGCCTGAATTCCACACTGCTTGTCATGGCCATTTGAGATAAGAGCCCTTTTCCTTGGACCTGGGACAGCTGTGCTCCATGTCCTCCTAGGATCCATTTGTGTGCTCAGATTCAGGCTCTTGCAATCCAGTGTGGGACCACTTTGAATCTCTGTGGAACTTTTCACCTATTGCTTTTGGTTTTAGAAACAAACTGATCGATGTTGAAACAGCCTAGCATGTGGGGAGGCCATTTGCTAGGTGTGACATCAACAGACCGTGGTGCCTAATTGGTTTTCTTCATAATTCTCCCCACACAGAGCCTGCACCAGAACCCATCTGCAGATGGAGACCAGTGCATAGCCAGAGGCTGTTGTGGTTGGCAGCATCAGAGGTGTGCATGAGGAGAACGAGTACGTGGACTCCCTCTGTGGCTGTGCTCTTCTCTGCTTTCCCTAGAGCAGAAGACCTAAAGCTTCATCACATTTACAAGGATGCCTTTCGCTGGTGTGAGTCCCCTGTGCACCCAGAGTTATCAAGGCAAAGGAATGCTCAGGGGCCTGGGCATTCTGCTAATAGCTTTGCCAAGCTGTAATTGCTTGGGCTCAAATTTTTCCATGCCAGATGGCTGAGGTTCTCTGGAAAGTTTCAGCCACACTATTTTGACCATTTCCAAGAAAGAGGGGAAAGCACAGTGTTTTGTCCAGCTGTTGGAAATAAATAATTCCACGAAACTGCTGTTGAGAGAGGGAAGGCTCCGTGTTTTGGAGAAAGAGCATGAAATTTGGTCTTGCTGTCAAAAAGTGCCATTTGCCACTTCCAGGAAAGTTTGTTTAATTTTGAATTAGGTACAAGCTCTGCAAGTCATGGCTTGCACAGGCTCAGCAGACCCAGTCAGAGTCACAGTTCTACTCTCCAAAGACTGTCTCCAGCAGACATACTGCAGACCAGGCTGCAAAGGTTTGGGTGCTGCTCTACTATAGGAGCTGGAGAAGTAGAGATGGCTGGAAAGAACAGAAGGGCTCAAGAGTGAGCCTGGAAGGTGCTGGGTTGGGGTCAACAATGAGGAGGTGCTGGGTTTCTTGTTGTGGATGGGATGCCACAAGCTGTGTTGAAAGAATAGGAAGGAGAAGCTCTAATAAGAGGTATAGAACCAGATGTCCCTGCTCGTCCAGGGAGAAGTGGCTTTTGCATTGCCATTAAGGTCACCTCCTGCCCTCATTATTCCCATGCAGGAGTGGAGACGACGGTGAGGGATCCGAGGCCCTTGGACTCATTTGCCATCCATGAGCAGAAGTGCTGTGCAAGCTGAGCTTCCCTACCTCCACCACTGAAGGTTGTGCTGAATGTCTGGACAGTGCCCTACAGCGTGCCTGGTGGGACTGTGGGCAGATAGCATCTGACTCTCTCTTGTCCTGGCCAGAAGATTGCCTTGCTTTATAATGCTGCAAATCAGATGCCAAGAACACGCTTTTGCCATCCAGGGGAGGCAAGGCTGTTAGGAGTGGAGGCGTTGACACAAAGTGCCTTTGGGGGAAATGGCACAGAGTAGCATCCCTAGTTCAAGAGGCTGTCTGAGTGTAGCAACAGTCTCTTGTTCCCAGGCTCTGGGCCAGGGTAAATTGGCTACAGTGTACTTTGGGAATGAGGAGTTTGCCTCCAGGAGAAAAAGGGTTTAGAACAGCTTTGCTGAGAGTCCCTCTTTAATTCATCTATGCAGAGGGACAGCTGCCAGCTCCTCGGGTGGGCCTAGTGCTGTCTTCCCTAGATGCAGCAGGAGCTGCTCTTAGCAGGTGCAAATGGGAGATACAGATATGGGGACACAAGTGGGGACCCCCAGACTGAATGTGAAGCTGCCAGAGATGATGGAATGAGATGATCCCAACAGGGAGGAGGGGAAGGCAGACACTAGAACTGCTCTCTCCATACTCCAGATGCCAATCTTGCCTGTGTTCCCCTCATCCCCCTCAAGGTGCCAAGCATTCAAATGCATCACAAAGGATCTGAGCACAAAGACCCTCAACCCTACACCCTGCCCACTCTGTGCCCAGGACATGTCCCTTCCCCTGGGCCTGGGGACAGCAGCTGGATCCCATGGCCCATGTGGATCCCATCACCATTGAAGAGGACATGCAGGTTGTATCTCTGAGAGCTCTGACTTGAGCAAGCCATGTCCATACCATTACACTGCTTTAAAAACAGAGCAGCCCTACAAACCTCTTGCTGGACATTGCTCTCAGTGCCATGCCAGCCCCAAGCCCAGCCAGATGCTCAGTGCAGGGCTGGTTGGCTGTGTCATTTTCTGTGAGTCAGGTTGCTCTGTTCCCTGGCGCTGCTTCCTAGAATACAGAAAATCGAGTCATTTTAATTAGCTCATTAATAACTCATTTTTTTTCTACTGCATTTCATGAAATTCTGTGACTTGGTACAAGCAGTAAATAAATGCACAACATCTGTTATTCTGTCATTTAGAACATCTAAGTTAAAACACTGGAAAATGGGTATATGAAAGAAATGGTGATCTAAATATGTGTTTCTGTCCTAGAATCATGGCAAACTAGAGTTGGGATGGATGTTGAGCTCACCCTGCATCCAGGAAGAGGTTGGCTGTGACTTCTTGGTGTTACTACTGATCTCCAAGGAAAGGTATGCCACCATCTCTACTTTGATCATATACCCACCTGCTAATAAAAGTGCAGCAAAATTTAATATTTTACTGGAAATCAGTGTATTTTATGTTTCTGATTTTAAAAACAAACAAACAAAACTCCTATTGCAAAATTAGATTACAAACTGTTTTCAAACATTTGAAGTCATTCAATTTACACTGTTCTTGTTGCCAGACTTGATGCAGTGCCACATCCCATTTTCTCAGCCTCACTTCCCACCTAAGAGTTTCCAGGTCTGTTCCCACTTCCCACACTGCTCCATCTCCTCATGCTGGAACCACTGCTTGCATGCTGTGCTGTACTGCTGATCAGTGAACAGATCCAAGATAAAAAAACTGCTCCTCTACCCCACCCCGAAACCCCCCACTGGTTATTTTTAACCTGGATGAGTTACTGCACTGGTTTAGTGCCAGGACAACTGAGGAGCATGTGGTGATGTAGTGAGCAGGCAGTGCTGGAGGAATTAGGAATTCTTTTAAGTTGGCTTGCTGCAGAGGAGAAACTCTTTGCAGAGTATCCCTCCAGAGCATCCTGCTGCTGGTGCCATGCATGGGCTTTGCTCACAGCAAAGTGGAATCACACAGAGTTCCCCAGCTTAAAGCAAGGCAAAGTGGAGTTGAGCTGCCACGGGAAGGCTGGGGGTTTCTTGCTGTTGCTTTTTACACTCCTGCCCGGCCCAATGGGAAAAATCTGTGCTCCTGATGGGAAAAAAAGGACTACTGACTATACCCATAGTTGAGTTCATTATATTTATGATCCCATCCCTAATAACACTTAATGGTTAATAAACCTGAAGGAAATAAACCTGAAGTCAAATATTTTGGCTGAGCCCTGCTCTGGCACCGGGAAGAGCTGCTGCTTTGTCTCATTAATTGCCTTTATGACCTTTTCAGAATACAGCCTTTCCCATTAGCCATAGGACAACTGCACAGGATCTGTGACACCGAACCTCTGGCTATGCATCCCCTACAGATGATCATGCTCTGCAGCTGTTTGATGCTAACCTTTCTGCAGATCCTGCCGTTCATGCTAGAAAGGCTCTAAAAACCCCAAGGAAGAGGTCTGGCATTTCCAAAATGTCCACAGAGAGGCCTGGTAGCAGGCTGGAAGAAATCCTCATTTCTTGATGATTTCAGCCTGTCTCAAGATATGACAGCAGAGCCTCATCTGTATACGTGAAGATGTGTTATGAGTAGAGCTTGGCATTGCTGTTCCACATTTGTAGGTGACCCTCAGTTTTGAGCAAGGTACACAGGAAGAGTATCAGGGATCAGCCTGATGCCACTCAGTCTGAGCTTCAGTGTTTGCAGCAAAGATGGTGAGCAAAGTTCATCCTGAGAGCAAATCAGCTGAGCGCACAGGGTTGAGTGACTGAGTCTTCCTTCTGCGGTGTGAGGCTGGACAGTCTCCTGATAATTAATATATATAGTTAATCCTTTTCTTACAATATAGTGTGCCCATGGGTCAGGTCACTCATCTGGAAGTGCTGGAGAAGACTTTGCAGACCCCTTCCCAGCTTGGAGGAGATTAGCCCCTGGGCAAGTTCTTCTGTAGCGGGGCTCGTTCAGCTTCTTTCTCTGTTTTGTATAAAATAATTAACTGGTGAAGAGAGAGAGACAGAGACCTTGTGAGTTTACAGCTCATTGCTTAGGCATTCATCCAGAAGGGGAAGATCCAGTCCCTGCTCTTCAGATTAAGTTAAACAAAACTCAGCGTAACTGCAGACTCTGCCCAGGAACCTTCTTTATACTCAAAGGAAAGCAGAAGGTTAAAGCAGGAGGAAAGATGAGGGGAAAGCTCCCAACAGTGACCTCCTAAACGGCATTGCCCAGAGATCAGAGGAGACAACTCTCACTTACAGACTCAAACCCTAAGAGACTGAGCGCAAGGCATGCCACCAGCCCAATTGGGTTGGAGTAGATAACTCATTTTCTTCCTACTTATCAACATCTGATGATGGCAGATTTCTTTCTTAGCAATTGAGGGATAGCCTCATTTTTGCCTACTTCTTGTGTTTTCGGTGTGAGAAACCCTGGAGGAAGGCTTCATGACCACCACGACTTAGCAGAGCTGCCTCCTGGCCCTCTATCAACAGTACACCATCACCATCACAACGCCAGCCTTCAGATCATGGTGTGCTTCGCCAGCCTTTGTTCTTCTATTTGGTGAATTGATCTTCATCTGAGCAAGTATCGCTCACTGTCAGAATTACAAACCCGCCCATGAAAAGAAAAAGAACAGCTCGACTTCAAAGGGCTGTGGTTCTTTTCTTGTGGCCTATCCTAACCTGCACACAGCTGAAAAACTTGTTTAACCCAATTCATTGCGGGCCAACTTCTTTCCCTCTGACAGACAAAGGCACAGCAACAATGAGAGCATTCAGGTGCAGAAGAGGGAGGGACACACACCCCGTTCCCACCGATAAGCACAAAGCCTGGGGAGCGACAGCTTATCTCAGGCAACATCCCTTGAAGTCAGTGGCATGTGTGTGCAGAGATTCTATCTTTTATGAGGCCGACTGGTAGAGGTAGAAAAACGGGACCAACACTCAGGCACATAAACCCTTCTTCAGGCCACAGAAGTATTGAGGTCACCCAATGCCAGGAGATGCTCTACAAGGGACAGAGTGGGACAAAAGGTGGGCAGAGGTGAATGGTTGGCCAGGGCAGCCCTAAGTGCTCTGGCAGGTGGCTGGCAGGATGCCTTGACGCAAGGGGTCTATATGATTTTTGGGGGGACTCAGCAGATGACAGCTTTGCTGCCATTAGCAAGTGGCATCTGTGATTTTGGGTTTCTCCTGCACCAGGTGACATGCCCCAGACAGAACACTGCAGAACAGGTGCCAAAGCACTCCCAGGCACTGCCTTCCAGCAGCAGCACTGCCTCATACAGAGATTTCTGGATTATTATTTTTTTTCCTATTTCTATTTCTAAATGTGCTTCAAGATAAAATCCTCCAGTGTTTGTTCTTCAGTGATGCATATGCCTTCATTTCCTCCAGCTGATATTCATTCTTGCCTTCCTCCTTCTTTTTTTTTCAAGAGAAATGTCTTAACATTTGCAGAATGGAACTATTGTTTTTGCACTTTAGAAATGTGAACATGTCACTATAGCAATTATCTCTTAAACTTAACAAAACAGCCTAGTGCTGTTAAGATTAATAGGAACTCTTGTCACCTCTGAGCACTTTTCTATTTATTAATGACTCATTGCAAAGCACATTAGCACTGGTGTCACATTCTCACTGCTGCTTCTCTGCAGCTGCATGTAGCGTTGCCACAGCACAATCAGATCTCAGCTAGGGATGCTGTTGTACGCCTGTGACGTGGATCATAGAGAGTATGGGCAGGGGTTTGACTTGATGCTCTTAGTGGTCTTTTCCAACCTTAATGATTCTATAGAGTTCTCTAGGATAGCACACACAACCAGCCAGTAGACAACAGCATCCGGACAAACACTGATAGTTAAAGGAATGATTGTACCGTGGCCAGGTTCTTGTTTCACCATAGCCAGCAACAGGCTGAGAACATGCTAAGTGCTTTGGGTTTGGGGATTAATGTTGCTTGTGTTTGTGGAAAAAGTGCCAAGGAACAAAGCTGGTGGGGAAAATGAACACCTTGAACTTCAAAATGGTTCTTCTCAGGAAGAAAGTTATTCTCCAAAAAAGGGGTGGTGCAGTGGCATGGGCTGCTTAGGGAGGTGGTGGAGACCCCATCCCTGGAGGTATTCAAGATCTGTGGAGATGTGGCAACATGGGGACATGGTCAGTGGGCATGGTGGGGTGGGTAGAGGTTGGGCTTGGGGATCTTGGAGGTATTTTCTGGCCATAGTGACTCCATGATTCTATGACTCTACAAAATGCACTTGTCCCATTTGTCTCAGTTATCCATGGAAGAGCCCTCCAAGTTGTTTTATCAGCAGCGCCTATACAGGTACAGGTTTTTGCAAGAATTGGTGGGGCTCTCCAAGAAGACAGCACTGAGAATAATTTTAAGCTTGCACATCTCTCTGATAGTCAAGAAGGACTGAATGTTGAGGCGCACAAAGTTAAGCACCATATGTATCAGCTCTGCATCCATTGTGGATACTGGTTCGTATGGGGTAACACATGGCAGCTGCTGTGAGCCCAGAGCATGTATGGGGACATGGGGTTTTTGCTGCTTATCTGGGGTAGGATAGGACATCATTAAGTTTCTCTGCTTAGCTGTCTGAGCTCTTTCTTCTATATTTAAAATGCCCTGGGAATGCTGCTAGGTTGTGGCTGCTCTGTCTGCTTCTACATATATGAAGGACAGAGAAAGGTCTGGGATGGCTTTCAGTTGTAACCAAGGTCACACACTAGTGAGTGCTGGTGTGCTGAGGATGTTATACACGGCCTCCTTTATGCCAGCTGTATCTCAGCTGCACACAATGCTTTTGCAGCACAATGGAAATAAATGGGGAAGGAGGACAGAACAAGAAGCCTTGAGATCTGACCTTTCGCTATGGGTACACTGTGTTGCAGCAACACTTATTTTCCTACAACAAAAAGTAAAGGTTATTTATCTGCCTCAGAAGGTAGACTGAGGCATAATGTTTGACAAAGTGCTCAGAGCTTTGGGCCCTAGCAGGCAGTGTTCCCATTAGGATGCAGCCAAGTGCTCCAGGGAAGCCTGGAAACAGCCACTGCAATCCGGATTTACCCACATTTCTTGATGATGCATCCTAAGAACAGCTCTCCTCCACCACAAGAAAGGTCTGGGAATGCTCAGGCAAGGCCAGGGACTGTAGGTGAGGCACATCCCCGGGGCACGGTTTGAAATGCCCCTTTGGCACTGTGATTGTCTCCATGGGAAACGGAAAATAAGTGGGCTATAAATGGAGCAGAGACCGGGTATGGAGGAGCAAAAGAGAAAGGAATAGCCTCCAGAAATCCCTTTGACTCGGTCCCTAGGCAGACACTGAGGATCAGTGTCACGAGGCAGGGCTGGGAGGGCTCTCTGAGTTTTGGTCTAGAAATCATCAAACAGCGTCTTGCAAAACTTCCAGGATTTCACGGTCTGGACTGGAGCAGAAATGCCACAGGCAGCTCTGCCAGCCCCAAGCATTCACACACCATGAGTCAGCCCCTGTCCGGCTCCTCCAGGGCTCCTTTCCTTTCTGGGTGTGCTGGGAGCTGAAGCCAGGCTCATATTTTCCACATTTTTCCCCTACATGTCCCCCCGTCTCCTGGTAGCGAGGCTGAAACCTTGCTGCTGCTCAGTCGAGGGGGACATTTCTGAAAGGAATAGGAGAGGCAGTGCCCTATATCCCCAGCGCAGAGCTTTTGACAAATTTCACAGATTTGTCAGCTCTCGGCTCCTCATTTTATTGCCTGCAGATCTGGCCTTGTCACCAGCACAGGAGGTCAAGGTGCTGGCAGCAGCTCTGTGATGTGTGGGCCTACCCTTTGCCTACAAAAACACCCTGTTTTTCCTTTTTTTCAGGTGTAATGAAGCAGAGGGAAGGACAAGCAGCTTTCTCCAGCGCACAGAACTCCCCGCACCTGCAGCTAGGGCATCTCTGGCAGACACACGATGAACTTATACACAACCCTTTCAAGCCAGTTTCACCCCAGGGACAAGTTTACTCTTATTTATGGGGCTGATGGCAGCTTGCAGGCAGCGGTCTCTGGCACCCCTTTGTGGCTGCCAGCGCCAGCACAGGCTGTTGCTCTGGGATAAAGAGAATACTCTGGGTTGGAAGAGACACTGAGATCCCCCGGTTTCGACCCCATGTTATGAGCAAGGACACAACTTGGCCCTGGTCATATCCTGGGGACACACCATCCCATCCTGTCTGCCTGCAGGCTCCATGGTGCAAGGGAAAATGTGTCATGTGCAAGAGAACAGGGCAGGGTGCGGGGTGAGGAATGGACCCGTGGCTGCAGGCAGGTGGGTGTGGGCAGGGATGCACGCAATGGCTGCAGAGGGCAGAGAGTGGCGGTGCAAGAAATGGTGAAACACACAGCAGCAGGGGGTGTGGGCCAGGCTGTGTCCCACACAGAGGGGTGCTGGAAGGGTGCAGTGGGGGTGCAGCACAGTGCAGCAGGCAGAAGGGAGCAGCAAGGTGGAAGCAGAGGACAGCCATGGAGCAGCAGGGAGCAGCAGGGAGCAGCTGGGTGAACGCAGAGCAATAGGGAGCAGCTGAGTGCAGGAGGAAGCTGCAGAGTGCAGCAGGGAGCAGCAGGGAGCAGAAGGATGCAGCAGGGAGCAAAAACAGCAGGGTGAAGCAGGCAGCAGCAGCAAGCAGAAGGCTACAGGCAGGGTGCAGCTGGGTATGCAGAAGGTTGCAGAAGGTTGTAGGCAAGGAACAGCAGGGTGCAACAGGGAGTGGTGGAGAAGGCTGGGATTAGCAGGGTGCAGTCAAGGAGCAGGAAGGAGCAGGCAGGCAGCATCAGGGTGCAACAGGGCAAAAGTAAGATGGAGAGGCAGAGAGCAGGTACGGTGTAGTAGGGAGCAGGCAGAACGCAGGAGGCAACAGAAAGGAGCAGGAAAAGTGGATGCAGGGAGCAGCAGAGAACAGCAGGGGGCAGGCAGGGTGCAGACAGGGAGCAGTACGGTGCCTGCAGGGAGCAGAATGGTGGAGGCAGGTAGCAGGCAGGGTACAGACAGGGAGCTACAGGGAACAGCAGGATGCACGCAGGTTGCAACACACAGCAGAGGTAATCGGCAGCGTGCAGGCAGGAAGCAGCAAGGAGCAGACAAGGTGCAGAAAGGAGCAGGCAGCCCTGTAACCAGCAGGGGACATCCCAGCACAGCTTCATCAGGAGGATTTGGGAGGACTGGAGATGGAGAGCAGCAGGAATGGGGTGAGGCATGGGAGAGGCAAGGTGCAAGGGCACTGGGGTGCAGAAGCAGAGCGCAGGAGGGATGGGGTATTGGGTGGCTGGATGCAAGAACATGGCATGGGCTATGGGAGTGGCCAACCCTTCTCTTACTGATGCTCAGTGGGATGTTGTCATTTGACTGTAGCAGTCAAAGCAAACACTGTGTGCTCATCTGTGCAGGTGTTCCTGGTGCCCACTGAGTACCAAAACTTTCCCCCAGAAAACTTTCAAGCAAAGCGTCTGAAATAGCCTGATGTAGGAGAAAACCTTGTATTTCAAATCTGAAGACTCTGCAGTGTGATGTCTCCCCTAAAAATACCATTCACCTCCAAGATATCTCTGCAGAAGGGAAGCTCCAGTGACCCATGGTGTAAAACAAGGACCTGAATACTGACGCTTTTTCTCTATTTCCCCTTTCCTGATTTTCTGTCCTCATACCTGAAGGTAGAGCCAACACTAACCCCTTGACTTTGGGCTTTCACTGCAACTTTTTGAGCCATGCAATGGTGCTGTCATTAACACCACTGAAGGTCTGGACCCTGGACATCAAAGGATTGAGCTGACTTTGTGCATCCCAAATCCCAAAGCTTGCTGACATTGCAGGGGCAGCGCTGTGAGAGTCTCACAGCATCCCATGCATTTGATTGCTGGATGTGTCCACAGTAATGTGGATTAGATTTGATGTGCCAATGTTTCCTTGGTTTCTGGTGCGCCCAGACATCTGTTTGGGGTTTGTACAGCTGCTGTACAAGACGCAGATTTGAGAAAAGGGATGGGAGGTTGCTGGTACATTAGGATCACAGCGGTGGAACCCGGCTTTCATGGAGCTGGCTCTCCACGTGGCTGACTATTGCACAAACCCATACAAAGCAGAGAACATCCCAGCTGCTCAGCTCACAAACCCGCCTCTGTCTGACAGCCCTTTGACAAACCACTGAGTTTCACCTTCCCGGAATCGCAGCACAGCCCAGGCTGTGGGTGGGTACAGTGCTGCCAGGGGCAGAGAAAAGCAGAACTGTCCCCTAAACACATCAGGATGTTGGGCAGGGAAGGGCTTTGGAGGTGATTTTCTCAGGGCAGAGCAGGAACAGACGTGCTCATGTCTCATCCCATGCCCCGCAACGCCAACCACAGAGCCACACCCTATAGCCCCTGTAGGATGGCTCTAGACCACTAGTGCAGAGGCCACTATTAAATACTTAAGCAAAAAAAAAAAAAAAAAGAAAGAAACAACTCTGATTAAAGGCCTGGGATGATGAGGAATCCACCACAGCCCCAGGTCCCACACCCTTCATTACCTTTGTTGTTAAATCTTTGCTACTGAATGTAGTGAAGTCCATCTTCCGTGTCCTGCCATGAACCTCAAGCGCTTTTTGACCATTTCTTATCAATCCCAATTGCCATCTCCTGCAGAAATGTAATAGAATAAGATTCTTCTGGCTCTTCCTATACCAGGAAACATCCTTTTATAAGGTTATTCAGCAGCCATATGTTTACATTTTGTGTATGTATGCCATCCTCTGTGTACACGGAGGTTATCTATAGTGTATACATGCACGTACTGATTTCTGTGGGCTCAGTGATACAGCAATCATACCCAGGCATGGTAAATACAAAGCTGCACCACTCTGATTCATAAAACACAACACCCACGGCATGCTTGTGACTTGATATTGTTATCTCCTTGTCCCCTATCTAAAGCAGGAACGTGTCGAGCTCTTTCCTTCCAAAAGGCTTTGCAGCAAGCGGGCAGCAATGGCATTTTCCTTTCCTCCCCACTCACTTTACTGGGGGGGCAGTGGGGTCTGTACTGAGGCAGTGGTTTGATGCTGCCATCACACAGGGCACTGCCCAGCGCAGCCAGCCCGTAGCATTTCCAGCACCAGGGCTATTCCAAACTGCTCTGCAGCAGCATAGCTTCCCTTCAAAGCTTCACGGCTTTATTCTCTCTCTCACTGTTACTTCATTCCTGATGGTCTTTCAGGGCTTACAGTTTGCTTAAAAGGCAGCAGTGTCGATACAGCTGCCTGTGTGTAATGCGACACAGAGTGATGGAAGGCCCAGCACTGCCATGCCAAGTGTCTGCCCTTTGCACACCAGGAGGAGAGCAGTGCTGTGTCATCCACCCTGAGGGCTTTCTTCCAGCAGCCTTGCTGCAGTGCTGTGCCCTGCAGGGCTGTAACCTGCACCCTGCACGGCTGCACTGCACACCCTGCGTCCTCCACAGCTGCATCCCTTGTGGCTGATTTCTTCACAGTTGCACCCTGCAGAGCTGTATCCTGCACAGCTGCATACAGCAACCTGCATGGCTATATCCTGCACAGATGTGTCCTGGACCCTGCATGGCTGAAGCCCACGTCCTGCATGGCTGCATCCTGCACAGTGACATTCTGCACCTCGCCCAGCTGCATCCTTCATGGCTGCACCATGCACAGCTGTATCCTGCACCCTGCATGGCTGTGTTTTGTATGGAAGTATCTAGTACCATGCCTTGATGAATCCTGTACAGCTGAATCCTGCATAGACGTATCCTGCACAGTTGTATCCTGCACCCTGCAAGGCTGCATCCCGAATGACTGCATCCTGCACTTACATATCCTGCACCCTGCATGCCTCCTGCAAGGCTGCATCCTGCACAGCTGCATTCTGTGTGGGTGTTTCTCACACCCTGCATGGCTGCACCCTGCATCCAGAGCTCCCTCTGCCCATGGATTTGCAGTCCCCTCCCTGCTGTCAGGCTTTGCACCTCCTCCCTTTCCAGCAGCATTGCAATCCTCTGATGCAATTAACAGCCACAATAAGGGACTGTGGAAAAACATCCCCGTCTGCAAGCAGAGAAAGAGAGATGCAGCAGTGAGGCTTTGCCAGCGATTGGAGGCATGGAGCAGTGCCCAGTGACATGGCACAGCCACGCTGCAGAGAGCAGAGCTGCTCTGATGGCTCAATCCACTCTGCATCAGGGATGTCACTGCCAAGGATTATCGCTGTCACTCTGAAGGCAGGAGGTGGTGTGGATGGGATCTGCCATCAACCAGGACTGCTCCCTGCAGCCCGACCTTTGTGGATGCTTATGGGGCTGTAATAGTGGCAGTCCTGTAAAACAGTGACTGGTTCTCATCCGTGTCATCAGACTTTGCATTTCTACGGCCTCTTTAATACAAAGATGTTGTCATGGATTTCATCAGGATGGGAAAGGCATGAATTATGCCTGGGTCCTCCATTATGCAGCTGAGTTATGTCAAGTTTCAAGAAATCATAGAATTGTGGAATTATAGAATAGCTGGGTTGGAAGGCACCTTACAGAACACCTGGTTCCACGCCCCAATATTAGAACTAGTTACTTATCAGGAGGCACAGAAGGTCAACAAGAGACTCCAGATGCTTGCACTTTGGCACTGGCCTTAAGGAACTGGTCAGACTAGGAGGGACTGAAGCAGCTGAATACCAGCGAATTCAGCCTTGAATTGAAAACAGCCATGGCACTGACCTACAAAAAGAAAAGGATTGCGGGGAGCCTGTCCTTGTCCTCAGATGAGCATTTCTGAACCTGCCCTGAAGCTTGACTTTGGTGCAGGGGGCCATCTGTCCCACCTGCACTTCCCATTGCCTCCCTGCCTCAGTTTCCCCCTCTCACCCCACAGGATTTGCACTGGGGGTCAGAGAAAGAAATGCTGGAGCGTTCCCGGGGGATGGACAGGTAGACAGACAGACAGACAGAGGTCTCAGCAACACGAATGGGAGCAGGAATAAAGACCTCATCTGTCTCCTTGCTCCTACAGTGGGTCCATTATTTGCATGCTGAAGGCGGTCTATTTGCTCGCAGCTGGCTGCACCCAGATGGAATAATGCTCTCTCTGATGGCAGCAGTGGGGCTGTGGACCCAAGTGTCACGGGTCTTCCCTTCCTGTAGCAGTCTGAGCACTTGGCATTTGCTGGGCAGCACTGTGGGAAGATCAAAGCGGCCCCCTCGTTATGTCAGCAGTGCCAGTTTGTATAACGAGCATCCTGCACAGGGAGCTGCGAGTCGAGCAGAACACAGCATGCTGAATGCTGCCTCCAGGAACGAGCTGTGAAGCTGAGGCAGGCTTGAAGCTGCTGAGGGAGGAGCAGGTGAGCAGCACATCCCAGCTTCCATCGGAGTGCTCTGTAAACATTCTGTACCCATCTCACTCCGATCTAGAAATAGGGATGTGGTGCAGGACCATGTCAAAGGCCTTGCAGAAGTTCAAGTGGACAACACCAGCTGCCCTCCCTTTGTGCACCGATGCTGGTACTCCATGTAGAAGGACAGTGCTGGTAATGCTTGGCTGCACTGCCAGCCAGCCCACTTCAGCTCTCTCTTACAACACTGACACAAACTTCTGACACCCAACACCTCCCTACACACGCTTTAATCAAGAGCCAATTCCGCTTCCCAAACACTGAGTCATCCTCTGTTATTATTACCTGGCACACGGCACCCAGCACAGCAGCCACATCTTTTCCTTCAGAGGGATGTTCCTTCTCCTCCTCCAGCTTCTCCCCAGTCGCTTCTTCATAGAACCACAGAATGGTTTGAGCAGGGAAGGACCCTTAAAGGCCATCAGGTGCCACTCCCTGCAGTGCACAGGGACACCCACAGCTCCAGCAGTGCTCAGAGCCCATCCAGCCTGACCTTGGCTGTCTGCAGGGATGGGGCACCACCACCTCTCTGTGCAGCCTGTGCCAGGGGTCTCACGCCCCTTGCAAAGGACTTCTTTGTATCTGTATCTTTGTATTCAGTCTACATCTCTCCTCTTTCAGTTCGAAACCGCTTCCCCTCGTCCTATCACAGCAGACCCTGTTAAAAGAGTGTCCCTTTCTTTCTCATACCGCCCTCCAGATCTTCATGCCTGCTTCTCAAACGTGCCAGGTATGATGTCCATAGGGCTCCACAGGGACAAGGTCCCTTCTCGGAACCCTCTTTTCCCTGCAGGGGAGGGCACAGCACGCAGGGCCGAGCCGCGGGCTCGCACAGGATGCGACACAGGCGGTTCCCTGGTCTGGAATACGACACAAAGCCAAAACCACAAACCAGCGACGAGCTCTCAGAACACCCCCTCCCACCATTATCGGGTCGCCACGGCAACCCAAAACCACGGCAGAGAGCACCACTGGGATGTGATTCGGCCGGCTCCTCGTGCCGGCGATGCGGGCAGCACGGCACGGCGGCGGCTGAACGCGGGGCGCGGCCGCAGGGCAGAGCCGGGCTCTCAGCGCAGATCCGGGCGCTCGGAGCCGCCCCGCCGCCTACAGCTCCCGGCAGGGCCCGCGCGGGGCGGGGCGGGGGGCGGGCGGTACGTCAGGGCCCGGCACTGCCCGGCTCCTCCGGCGGAGCTGCTGCTGGCGGCCGGGCGGCGCCCCTCCCGCCGGCCTGGAGCGCTGCCATCCGGTAACGGGGGGCGGGCGCGGCCGCGTGGGGGGACCGGGCGCCGCGCGGAGGGGTGGGGGCGGCGGGGCTTTGTGCGCGTGGCCGCGCGGGCTCCGTGCCCTGCGGCGGGGCGCAGCGGGCCGCCCGCCCGGCTCGGGGCGCCGCTCCCCCGGATTCCCTTTCCCGCGACGTGCCGCCCTCCGGCCCCGTGCCGCTGTGTCTGTAAGGACGTGACGACGGCTGACAGCCGCCGGCTCTGTCCGAGCCCGGAGAGGGGGAGGGGGGGGGGGGCTCACGGGGGAGGGGTCCGCGCGGCGGCCGGGCGGTCGCGGTGCCGCACGGATCGGTCCGTTGCGGTCGTTTTTTCCCATCTGCGGGGATCGCCCCGCGGTGCGTGCGGGCGGCGGCCGTGCGGTTCTGCTCCCGTTGCAGAGCGGCAGCCCCGACCCGCAGTGCTGCAGAGCCGAGGCCGGGCTCCCCCTGCACGTGCGGGGAGGAGGCCGTGAGCGCCCGGCGCGCCCCGCTGCACCCCGGCTGAGCTTGCTTCCCTTTGTCTTGCCCGCGCTGCCTGCCTTCTCGCGTGCCGCCCTTCCAGCACCGCTCGGCTGGGCGCTCGGGAGGTCGCCGCCGGCAGAGAAACGTGCGGAGGTGGCACGGGCGCTGAGCCGCCCGGCTCCGTCCTGTCCCCACCCAGACGCGCCGCAGCGTGGCCGGCTGGTCGCAGAACCGCGGGACTGTGAAGGCGGCAGAAAACCTCCGGCATCCCCAATGCAACCCCAGCGTGCCCGTCCCTCGGCCATAGTCACACCCCTAGGATGGGTTTCTGCTGTTGGATGCCGTCACAGCACCCTGTCAGAGCTCTACCGAGCTGGGAAAACCGCAGTCTGGGACAGATCTATGCTCTTTCTGCCTTGTCCTGGGCAGCTCGGGCTGCGTTTGCATTTAAATCACATTCCTCTGGCTGTTTGTAGCATAGGCCCTTCTGCAGTACCTGCACCCGTAGGCTCTGCAGATGCCCCATGCCACATTTAAGGTGTTTTAACATCGCCCAGCTCCTCTTGTTGTCCTTTCTCAGACCCGAAGTTGCTTTTAAGAAGCAGAATGATGCCACGTCACATCCACGTGTAGCAAAACGGCACATCTCAGCGGAGCTGCAGGAGGAAGCCCGGCACCCGGGGCTCTCAGAGTCCTTCCTGAGATGAGCTGAGCCCGGTGCTGTGCTGGCAGAGGGAGCAGGGAGCTGTCTGAGGTGGCTCCTTGCTCTCACACTTGCTGCTGGAGCTGAGTCAGCCCTGCATGCTGAGCCTGGCAGCTCAGCCCTGGGATGGGAATGGTCCACAGGCAGTTCCTCCTTCGCACAGTGATGTGCAAAGCATGGAAACATAATCTGTGGTTGTTGTCCCTCGCGGGCTGTGGGAGGGAGATGAGGAGATGCCCTTCAGCACTTGCTCATGCTTTCTGAACTTTGTTGGCAATAGCTGTGCCACCCTGACCCTCCTCTCTATTCCCAGTTTTGGGGTTTGTCCCCCGTTCCTCGCAGCACCTATCCTTTCCCCTGCTCTTTTCTAATGGGAGCAAGGTGAGATTGCAGCAGTTAGCACCAGTTGCATTTCTGCCCATATTCTGTACGGAGTTGCAAGCAGACCCTCCTGAAACCTCTGTGTGTTTGTGTTCCTGCTGCTGGAGCGAGCCTCTGGCTGAGTCCTGGCATTGGTTTAGCAGAATCAAACATTCACATTGCGTGTGACATCAGTAGGTTTCAGAGTTAGCCGTCCTCTGGTGCGTTTGGGGCAGCTCAGGCTGGAGCTTTCTGTTTAGAAGATGTGTGGTGTTGTTAGGGCTTATGGGCAGGTATTGTGCATAAATACTTCAGGTTGTCCTTGTGAAACTCCTTGGAGAAGTTCTGCTCCACGAGTGTCATTACTGAGTCATCAGGAGTGAAGGGCCAGCACTGCTAGCCAGGAATTGCTGTTCATTTGGGAGAATGGCCATTTTATTTATATTTTTATACAAATTGAAATAATGTTGCTTGAGTGTGTACTTACAGGCATTTACAATATAGATGCCTCGCTGCTGACCCGAATTGAAATTCATTTCAGGCTGAGATGGAGATGCCATTGGGTATTTTTAAACTATTTTTGCATCCAACCACCAACTTCCCTGCTGAAACAAAGCAGTTACTGTAGAATAGAATTGTAGGGTGGTTTGAGCTGGAAGGGAGATTTAAAGGCCGTCAGGTCCAACTCCCTGCAGTGAAGAGGGACACACACAACTCCATCAGGTTTTAGTTCTTCTTTGGGGTCATCTGTAGCCATGCAAGGCTCCGAGGACCACATGGTGGCCAGGAGTTCTTTGTGCTTTGGGAAAAGCATTGCTTCCATTCTCTCTGCTCCTCCATCCCCCAGCCTCTTTCCCCCAGGGGGCAGAGACAGCAAAAGGACCAAACCCAACGAACTGGTTTCCCCATGGCAGAGGGAGCTGTGGTGACCCACCTCTACTTCTCGCTCAGGTCTCTGTAGGACCACATCCCGCCTCACCCCTCTGCAAGGAGCCTGCTGTTGGAGCATCTCACAGTGTGCAGCAATTTGTGGAGGGCGTCAACGACTCTTTTAATTGGCCTGATTGCAAGTAAGCCTTCCCCTTCCTTCTGGAGCTGTCAGAGGGACAGGCGTGCACAGCAGACACACAGCTGCCCCCGGCTTCCTGCATCCTGCAACAAGGAGCAAGCCAGGTACGCCGTGCTTTGTCCTTAGCATCCAAAGCTGATGGATTTGGTGGCAGCTGGAGGCTTTGCGCTGGTACATATTTCATTAAATGACATTTTTTGTCTTTTTGCACACTGTGTTGTGACGTCGGGTCAGGGCTGGAGTGTGGAGCTGCCTCCGTCCAACCACCTCCACTCACGGGGATGGAGGTCACCCTGTGCTCAGCCAAGAGGTCTGGGCTGTCAGATTGAGGACTGTCGCTTTGGGGGACGTCAGTTTGAGGGCTGAAAATTTGGACGATGTTGCTTTAGAGGATGGCAATGTTAGGAGCATGGGTTTAGTGGTTTGGGGGTTCTCTGTATGGGGGATGTCACTTTTGGGGGATATCACTTTGGGGACATCATTTACCCATACGGAACTTTGGAAAGGGTGGAAGCTTGCACCGTCACAGCAGTGGTGTGGTGGTCTGGCCAAGGAAAACCCCCTAGCCGAGCCCTAAATCCTGCAGCACGCCAGCAATGCAGGGCTTTGTTAAAACCCTGAGGTGCTGGCTGTCCTTCCCAGGCTTTGAGTATTGGTGGGGCACACAGCCTGTTTCCAGGAATCAGCCCAAAGGAGCACACTGAGTGGCCTTTTTTCTTCATATGCATTACGTGAGGTGAAAGATTTATTTATTGAGGGGCAGTAGCCACTTCAAACTGAGGCTTCTTTCCCATTTCTGTGCTTTTTTTACTGTTATTATTTTGTTTACAGAGATGAGGTTTATGCAGTCAGATGGGATTTCGCTTGTTGTTCCTCCAGAAACGTTTCAACCCCGGGATTGATTTCAGCCAAATTGGACAGAGGAATGCAGATCAGATGCTTTAAGGAAATGGGTGGAAGAGGGAAATCCCAATTTCTTCCTGCCCACAGGGAGGGGCTGCAGCAGTGATGTTGGCTGGGTGCAGGTGGGTAACCTTGGTGACACCCAGTGGGATTTGAGGTTTATGGTGGGGCCAGCTCTAAGCCTCACAAAATGTTTTTTAAGCAGAAAATCCAGGCTGAGCCCAAATAAGGAGTCAGCTGTAGGGATACTGCTGGAGATCTAAACCTGGTCCCCTCCATCAGCTGGCAGCAGGGATTTTCTGTGCCCTGTGGGACACCTCATTATGGCCTCTTGTGTTATGGCAGCACTTTGGGGCACTGAACCTACTGATACTGAAAAAACCCACTCCAAAGAGCTGTTAGTCCAAGATATGGCCCCAAATCTCTGAATTCAAGAGGATTTTCCATGTCTAACCCTCTTTGCATCCCCTGCCATCTGAGTAGGCGGCAAGGATGTGCCGCGATTGGCACTGCACAGAGCAGAAGTTGTAAGCCCTTGACGGGATTTATGGAACAGGACAGCACCTGGATGTACTGCCTAGCTGTCTGTGGGGTGCTAATGGGGAATGGGAGCATCCTGGTGTAGGAGCTTCTCACTGAGGTGTAGCATGGTGGCTTTTCGACAGAGAATTGTAGAATCGTAGAGCCATGGAATGGTTGGGGTGGAAGGGACCTAAGGGATTGCAGAACTTTAGAATGGTTGTGTTGGAAGGGACCTGCACAACCATGGGCCCTTGGTGGTCATCTTCACTGGATGCAGGGCTTGGAGCTGCTTGGTGGACACTAGATTCAGGAGAGCTGAATGGGAAGCCATGCCCTGTGCTGCCTTCTTGGTGACGGCTGTTACTTACAGCTGCAATCTGGGGCCACCTGCTCTGCCCTTCCCTTTCTGCCATCACTACTTGCACTTTTTTTTTTTTTTTCTTTTTTCTTCTGGGGATTCTGTTCCTTTCTTGTCAGCTCGCAGAACGATTTTCTTTACTCTATTTAGGGCTGTGGGGGAGGAAGTGACTCAGCCATTCCTCTCTTGTCTCTGCACAGTCATCCCTGCCGGCTGGGCTCTGCTCCCCGCACACCTCACCGTATGAGTGCTCCATGCAACAGCAGCCCGTCTGCTTCCTCACCCCATGTTTGGGTGAGAAAAGGCACGTTTTGTGGGCGGACGATGTGCCAGGCGTATCCTCACAGCACGCTGCTTGAGGAGAACAAGCTGCCAGCCTGGGGACCTGCGAGCCCTGATAGCAGCAGAGGGGAACGGGCTTGTGTGGGGTCATTTGGAGAGAACTGATGGCACGCCACGTGCTGCCTTGCAAGAAAAAGAGTGCATTTGTTTCAGGTTAATTGTTGTCTTTTGCTGGAAGCCAACACCGCTGGCTGCAGCATCACTTTGCTCTGAGGGGAACTTCCAAACCCAGCCTACCCAGAGTCCTTCCTCTCCCCACCAAACCCAAACTCTCAAACCCAGAAGGCGTTTTTGACCTGCTTGGGAAATTCTGCATCCCTTTGTTTATGACTTTCAGCTCCTGGGTCGTCTCTGGCTTGCGTGCCTTTGTTCCTCAATGGCTTTAGCAGGAGGGCTGCTGATGCTTCCTAGCTTGTCCTCACCTTTGGTCTGTGATGCAGGCAGCAGGGACTTGACCCCGCTTTGACAGCGCTGGATTTTGGGGAGTGGTGAATTTTAGGCTTTCACAGGTTTTTGGTGAGAGTTCTGATGCTGAGCAGCTCCTGTAGGTGGCAAAGGCATCTCTTTGAATTCCCCATAAAAGGTCCTTGGTGACCCCAGGATTTCGCAGTAAAGAGCAAAGAGCTGAGGACACGAGTTACATGTCACCTTTACTGAGATCTGTTGAAGCAGACCCGTCCAGTTTTGTCAGATGTTTCTGGATACATTGTGGTTGCCATGCAGGAGGCACGTTTCCCCTGTTCCTCACGTGGCTTTTGTCTCGTGGAGCTGTGTACCAGGGAGGTTACAAAGGGGAGGCTTTCTGATGGCAGTGCTGGCTGTAATGCACAAGTTGAATGGGAGATGCTTATAAATATCTAGTTTCCCAGGAAACTAGCAATAGGAGACGAGGTAATGGTTCGGGTTGGATATTAAAAGAAAATTCTTCTCTGAAGAGCTGTCAGGCATTGACACAGGCTGCCCAGGGGGGTGGAGGGGTCCACATCCCTAGAGGTGTTCAAGAACCATGGAGATGTGGCACTTGAGAATATGGTCAGTGGGCACAGGGGGGTGGGTTGGGCCTGGGGATCTCTGACATCTTATCCAACCTTAATGGTTCAAGGGCTTTGTGATTCCAGCCTGCTTGGTGATAAGTTGATCAATGCTGGTGGCTGTGGAACTGGGAAATTTGCAGCTATTTGTACAGAGATGGCAGGCTGTGCTGTGGAGCTGAGGCTGGCCATCACCAAGCTGTGATGCTTTCAGGAAGCCAGCTGGGGTTTGGTTTGCTTGTGCCCAACATTTTTATTTTTATTTTTTCCTCCTTAGAATTCCAAACAAATCATGTAGCTGTCCAAGGCCATTCATTACTTGGCATGTTGTTGTTCAGCAGCATAACTGTTTTGGCATTTGTTGACTCTGCTGTGCTCCCCTTGAGTTCCACATCACCCTGTGACGCCAGTGACAAGACATGGCCATGTCCTTGCAGTGCTTACGGTAACTCAGGCCACATCAGCTCTCTCCTGAGCATCTGCATCTATTGATTAAAACATTAGGAGGAGTGTCAGCTTGGAAGTGATGCATTTGATTAGGCAATTATTTTAACAAAAAAGCAGCGAACTCTTGATTCCAAATGCGTGAGAAATGGTAGCTGTTGCATTGTGATTTGCTGGAGAGAGGTTGGGGCACAGGGCAGCATCAGAGCATTGCTTGGGAGGGTGAGGGAGGGGTTGGCAGGCTGAACATCAGCCTTGAGCACAAGGGTCTTCTGCACAATCCAGGGGTAATATGGGAAATATCTGTGTGTTTTTAAGGAGTTCTCTTGCTCTTTGGGCAGGGATCTGTAGTGACTGTGGGGAAGTAAAGGTTGCATGAAGCATCCCTGGGGCAGGTTGGTGTGTAGGGTAGGGGCTGTGTGCTGGGTTGAGAGCTCCTGCAGTAATGTGTTCACTTCCTACAGCATCACGTAGGGCTGGAGGTTGGGCTGCAGGGTTGCACAGCCAAATTGGAGACAGCTGATGGCTCTGCCATGGTACAGATGGTGAGGAAGCAAGAGGAGGGGCAGGACAGCATGCACATCCTCCCCTTTGGTCTCCCTTTCCTGTTTGCTTGGGCCAATTTCAGACATCTGGAGGTGAGCTCAGCCAAATTCCTGCTCCAGGGCTGGAGCTGGGACCTTTTCATCTCCTCGTGCCATGCCTTAAGGCTGCTGGGATGGCAGAGCTGGTGTGATCCAGCCTGGAGGAAGAGATGGATAACATGAAACCTCCAGCTCCCTTTGCATGGGAAAAGCTTGTACGTGCCTTATAGTGAGGTCATCCTCCTTGCTCCTGGCTTTCTGGAGCTTGAGCCTTCACTTGTTGTGCTTTTGAGCTCTACGCTGACCTGAGCCTTTCTCCCAGAGCTCAGCCTACACCTCCTGGCTGCTTGCCTCCGGGAAGAAGTTTCTTCTGGCTTTGATGAAGTGGGAGGAGAGACCTTGTGCCTTGTTGTGAAAGCCTGTCCCTGGTTTAAACCTTGTGCCTGGCTTTATTGGCTCCGTGGGGATGTTGCCACTTTATGGCAGTGCAGCAGCTCTCGTGGGCATGTGTGCCTCTGAGAAAGCTTATCACCAGCTGACCTAATTATGATAATCTTGCTCTTTCCCTGTTAGTGCAGGGTTCACCGGCTCTTCCTCCAAGCTGCTGCTTGATTTCCTGTCATTCCTTTGATATTATTGTCCATTCCCTCAAGCCAGGCAAGCCAAAGAGCAGGACTTCTCTCCTGCTCAGTGGCACACCTGTGAATCACCTCTCCTAGCCTCGTTGGACACCCCACTGTGTCCAGCTGGGCCTTTTGGCACCTCACTGCATGACCCTGCAGCCACAATGGGCCAACCCCACCTCGTCCCACCCTTCATCACAGCCCCATTTTGTTCCCCAAGCACACGTGTGCTGGATGATGTCCTCCCTCTGCCTGAGTTATGGGTGGGAATGCTGTGCTGTGTTGGAGCTCCCTGCC